CGACTCAGCTGACATCTTATATCGTGAGTGTTACGGTCTCCCACGCCACACATGTGCATGGACACGTGTGTGCCTCTGTACCGGTTCAGGAAGTTTTACTATGTTCCAAGCACTGGCTCCATGGTCTAAAAATACGGCTTATCATTGAAGGTGGTGATAGAGACGGTACGTTACACAGCACTGTCCTAGAACCAGGCAGGATGAAGAGTCAGGAGAGAGCTCGCCATCCTCCGAGGTGTCAGCAAGCCCAGCCGCACCTGCAGAGTGTGGCAACACACTCTGGGAGCTCCTCTTCCCCTCCTGGGTCAGAACACACTCTGACTCCACACCTGGCCCACGCTGACTCCAAATCTGGATGGATCTTAAAGCCCACTTCAGGAAAAGAAAATTCCTAAGAACCAGAAAGGTCTGTGTGTGTGTCACAGTCTACCTGGAAGCTTGGGGTTTCTGGAGCGCGGTTAGGAGCTGACCCTCGCAGCTCCTGTGTGAAGCACAGTGTGCTAGGCTGGGCCTGCGGTCCCTGACTGTGAAGACTGAGGTCTCCAGGGGCTCCTGCAGCCCCGCCCCGCACACAGCCGCTACCTCCTTGAACTCAGAGTAATTTCCCAACCCTCTTAAGCCCACTGGGACTCGGTGCCAGCGCTGAGGGAGCAATTCCTTTGTCAACTTTATTCCTCATGCGATGGTGAGCAAACGGCAATGACCTCCTGGAAGGAGACGCTCCATGAGAGAAGTGTGTCCACAGATTGCCTGCCTGGCAGAATGGACTCAGAGTCCAGCAGGGGCCAGGGGAGTGATGGAGGGGTGAGGGGATGATGGAGGGGTAAGGGGGATGATGGAGGGGTGAGGGGATGATGGAGAGGTAAGGGGGATGATGGAGGGGTGAGGGGGATGATGGATGGGTGAGGGGATGATGGAGGGGTAAGGGGGATGATGGAGGGGTGAGGGGATGATGGAGGGGTGAGGGGATGATGGAGAGGTAAGGGGGATGATGGAGAGGTAAGGGGGATGATGGAGGGGTGAGGGGGATGATGGATGGGTGAGGGGATGATGGATGGGTGAGGGGGTGATGGAGGGGTAAGGGGGATAATGGAGAGGTAAGGGGGATGATGGAGGGGTGAGGGGGTGATGGAGGGGAGAGGGGGTGATGGAGGGGAGAGAGGGTGATGGAGGGGTAAGGGGGATGATGGAGGGGTGAGGGGATAATGGAGGGGTGAGGGGATGATGGAGGGGTGAGGGGTGATGGAGGGGAGAGGGGGTGATGGAGGGGTAAGGGGGATGATGGAGGGGTGAGGGGATAATGGAGGGGTGAGGGGATGATGGAGGGGTGAGGGGTGATGGAGGGGAGAGGGGATGATGGAGGGGTGAGGGGGATGATGGAGGGGTGAGGGGATGATGGAGAGGTAAGGGGGATGATGGACGGGTGAGGGGATAATGGAGGGGTGAGGGGGATGATGGAGAGGTAAGGGGGATGATGGAGAGGTAAGGGGGATAATGGAGGGGTGAGGGGATGATGGAGAGGTAAGGGGGATGATGGAGGGGTGAGGGGATGATGGAGAGGTAAGGGGGATGATGGATGGGTGAGGGGATGATGGAGAGGTAAGGGGGATGATGGAGGGGTGAGGGGGTGATGGAGGGATGAGGGGATGATGGAGGGAAGAGGGGGTGATGGAGGGGTGAGGGGGTGATGGGGGGTGAGGGGGATGATGGAGGGGTGAGGGGATGATGGAGGGGTGAGGGGATGGTGAAGAGGATGAGAGGAGATGATGGAGGGGTGAGAGGAGTGATGGAGAGGTGATGGGAATGATGGAGGGGTGAGTGGTGTGATGGAGGGATGCCCTAGGGGGTGAAGGACAGGTGAGGGGATGATGGAGGGGTGAGGGGATGATGGAGGGGTGAGGGGATGATGGAGGGGTGAGGGGTAGGGAGTGATGGAGGGGTGAGGGGTAGGGAGTGATGGAGGGGGAGGGGTGATGGAGGGGTGAGGGGTAGGGAGTGATGGAGGGGTGAGGGGTAGGGAGTGATGGAGGGGGAGGGGTGAAGGAGGGGTAAGGGGTAGGGAGTGATGGAGGGGGAGGGGTGATGGAGGGGTGAGGGGTAGGGAGTGATGGAGGGGTAGGGAGTGATGGAGGGGTGAGGGGTGATGGAGGGGTGAGGGGTAGGGAGTGATGGAGGGGGAGGGGTGATGGAGGGGTGAGGGGTAGGGAGTGATGGAGGGGGAGGGGTGATGGAGGGGCGAGGGGTAGGGAGTGATGGAGGGGGAGGGGTGATGGAGGGGGGAGGGGTAGGGAGTGATGGAGGGTGAGTTGGTTCAGGATACTTTGGGTGATTATGTAGAAATGTCAAAGCAGAATCCTCCTGTATGAATAATAGATGCTAATTTTTTAAATCTTCAAAAAGCAAGGATGAAGAGAAAATGTATTAACGGAAGCATGGTGCATGCAGGAGAGAATTCACACGGTGGAGCTCTGTTGAACAGCTAACTTACAGTCTAACAAAATGAATACGGAGGCTGGAACTGGAGACGTGTGTGGGGCGCGAGGTGAGGAGGACGGGGATGCGGGGAGGATGGGAGAGCCCACCGTTGTGTTCCGGGCATAGCCAGTGACACCAGAAAGATGGAGGGGAGGGGTGGGGCTGGGGGGAATGGGGGAAGCAATGAAAGGCATGGTATCAACCCAGATTTATTGTACTCATGAACTGGCATGTTGATTGGTAACCCTTCTGTACAACTACTTAAAGAATATAATGTAAAGAAGGCTAATAAGCAAAGAAAAAATTGCCATTTAAGGCAAAATTACAGTCATTTAGTAACTACTTATTGTGCATCAACCATCAGAATAAATCCTAAAATAATAAGACAGCTCATAAAATGATTGAAATAAATATTTATGTCTTAAAAGAAAAACATAATACATAATATTTAGTTAACCATTAACTGTAAGCTCTTATCACTTGCTAAGTACTACACATTAATGTAGCACTCATTTGATCTCATTAGTGCATTTCATCTTCCAAAAAATCTTTATGAAGTGGACTATATTATTTAACAAAAAAGTTAATAAAAATATACAATTTCAGTAATGATCTAATGAAATACGAGTGTACCTTCAACTGAATGCTGAATTAAGCTGACTTACACTGCAAGAGATATAACAAATATACATAATAGTTGTTACAAAAATGACCATGGGCTCCGTGAGCATTCTCTCAAATCTAACCAGAAAGGTATCGAGCTGGCAGTATTTCCCACATTGTTGTTGTTATTTGTCATGGGGCTTGAACTCAGGGCCAGGGGAATGCTCCTGAGCTCTTTTGCTCAAAGCTGGCACCCTACCACTTTGAACCACAGCTCCACTTCCATTTTTTTTTCTGGTAGTTGATTGGAGATAAGAGTCACACAGACTTTTCTGCTTGGGCTGGCTTTGAACATGATCCTCAGATCTCAGCCTCCTGAGTAGCTAGGATTATAGGTGTGAGCCACCAGGGCCTAGCCCCAGATTTTTATAGTAGAACATTTAGTATCAATTGAATCGTTTTAAACAAGGAAGCCAAGTTGGTAATAGTTGTGCTGCATCTCAAAACTGAAATGATGTGTCTGTTTTCTTGAAGCTACCAAAAAGGCAAGTTTATTACCCATTCCAATGTTCAAATTCTCACTTGCTGCAATCTCATTATCCACTGGGTTAATTATCAAAGACTGAGTCAAGCAGGTCATCCTAACCTCATTTTATAAAGAAGGACCTAGGAAGTTGCCTAAAGTTAGGCCCACAGGAAAGCCCAGGTGTTCCTAAACTTAGCTCACTTTCCACCTGCCATCAACTGATTCCTAAAGTGCCTCGGCCGCGCAGCTGCCCCCGTGAGAGCCGCGCTGTGCTGCGAGTTCATCCTGCAGATCTGGGCGCGTCTCCGCCAGCCTCACACCACCAGCCTCTACTGGAGTTTCACCACGGGGATGCTAGAGGTTTTTGCTGAAATAAAACCATCTATCACAGTCACCCTTTTTTTCTAAAATGAAGTATAGCAAAAACTAAGTTGTTTTTTTGTTTTGGGATGGGTTTTTGGCAAAATAATTCTAGTCTCAAGAAACTTGGCCTATTTACAAAACTTTAGCAAGGATGGTAATTCTATACATAGCTGAAAAGATGATATTTTGGACAAAGACTTGGTAATAGTCGAGGGGCCTTACTGTATCCATTAAGCCAGCCTGAGTGGTGTATATAAATTGGCTTGTGAAACGGAGCCTCAAATTATACCTGCAAGCTTTTCCATGCTAGGCAATCAAATCCAAGCACTTGCCCAGTTATGTCACATTACAAGAAGAAGAGAGAGAGACTCTTGGTAAACCTCTACAAATGTTCATCTTTCCTCGAAGGTGAGAATATTAAATAACACTTTGAATCCTGGAAGAACTACATAGGGTGAAAATAAGCTAAAATTTTATTATATTTTATTTTTGTTGGTCATGAGGGTTTGAGCTCAGGGCCTGGTCACTGTCCTTGAGCTCTTTCGCTCAAGGCTAGTGCTCTGACACTTTGAGACACAGAACCACTTGCAGTTTTCTAGTGATTAATTGGAGATGAGTCTCACAGACTTTCCTGCCCAAGCTGGCTTAGAACCACGATTCTCAGCTCTCAGCCTCTTGAGTAGTTAAGATTACAAGCGTGAGCTACCGACACCTGGTTCAATAAATTCATCTTTAAAAAACCAGACTTAGCCAAGAGCGCATAGGCATTATCACTTTAATAACGGTACAACGTTGATTTTTAAGGAACAGCACATCAAGGAGAGCTATTTCAACGAAGCCTAAGGGTGAGAAACAACCACGGTGAGATCCAGGTTCAGGTTCACACACAACTGCTGTTAACCCTGACTTAAGGTCCGGGGAGAGGACCTGGGAGAGGCTGTGGGCATCCTTCCATTTACAGCACAAAACTGATTCAAACGGGCACGAAACAGCAAACTGTATCACAGCAGGAGATGGAGGAGGAAACCGCGTTAGCCTAGGGGAAGCCCCTCTTCTCCTCCTCCTCCTCCTCAGCGGGTGAAGAGCCGGGGGTTCACGGAGGACTTCAGGAAAGCATTGCCTTTCTTCACAAGCATGGGTACGCCGGGGCCTGGGGAGAAAGGCCTGAGCCAGGCTGGCAGGGCAGGGCAGACCGTGGGCATAGATGAGGAGCTGGCTGCCCAGGGAGAAGCGGGGTGCAGGCTGTGCGCTTACCTCCATGGACGTGACGTAGGGCGGGGGCTGTGCGCTTACCTGCGTGGTCGTGGAGCCATGACACCGCCTTCCTTTCCAGAAGGTGCCACTCATCTTTCAGGTCCCTGCAGTTCGCGTGCAGCCAGAGCACAGCCAGCATTGTTGCCCAGTCTGAGCCGTCCACTTGCTACGTGACAGACAGAGACCTGAGACTGCAGACCGGGCGGGGAGCCCCTGCAGAGGCCAGCCCTCACCCTAGCCTCCCCTGCCACACTGAGCCGGTCCCTCCTCGCTCAGCTTCCAATGCCCGCTTGCCAGGCGTAAAACCAGGTCCGGAGCCCAGAGCAACAGCCCACTGGATCTTAGGGTGAAGGTGCTTAAGTTTTAGACCCAGGGAAGTGAGTAGGACAGTACTAGAAAGGCCTAAAGTAATATTCACTTCCTCCACCAGGAGGACTGGCTGGGAATAGAACCAGAGTGGAAGCAGGGATTTGCTTTCCCTTTGCCATCCATCACTCTGAACATGATTCCTACTGCCTGTCCTGCTAATTCCTTGTTCTTTCTGCTTTAACTTCAAAAACTTCTAAACTCTTCTTTGTTCGACACTGATGTCATTTATGCCTACCATGCCTTCTCCTATCTGAATGGCCCCCAACCCCCTCTGAGCTTCTCTACTCCCTCAAAGGCTTTCCCCTCTGCTTTTCCTTTGACTCTTACCTCATCAGGGTAGGAAGTCTGCATGTCCTCGAAATTGAGACCAAGGACCTGAGCCAGAGCTCCGTCCAGGTTCCAAGAACCATCTGCATTTTGCAGGTACACCAGGAACATAATTGAAGTCTCTCTGCGGACTTTGGGAAGAAGATAAAAGGAGAAAGGATGGGTGATGACAGACCTATTGCCTTCTCCGCACCCTGAGGTAAGCTGCTAATCTCAGGGACAGGCTGGAGCAGGAGCGCTGCAGAGACAAAGCCACCAGACAGCCTCTAGAGCTGTCCTCCAAACCAGCGCATGAAAGGGCCGTCCCTGGATCTAAGATCTAAACAAGGAAGGCAGCCCGGCTGTGCAGAGGTAAGGCCCCACCTGCATGCCGTCTGTGTAGGCAGAGAGAGCAGATAGGCTGTGTTCAATGGAGCCACTGTCGGCTCCGGTGGGGTGATGGTTTCATGCACTGACTCTAACAGCTGGACAAACCTCACCCGCAGCTACTGCACTTCAAGTCATTTCCCTCCTGGGAAGAGAAAGCTCTAGGACAGCAGAGCTGTGAAGATCAAGGGCAGATCAGTCCCCGCAGATCAGAGAAGTGAACTTACAGCCCAACTCACTCTTATGGCCGCCTTTGGAGCTGGATGCCTGCGTGTTCTGGCTGAGAAAAGGAGCTTTCACCGCATCTAGAAGGGTGACAGAAGAGCCATCGTCCCTGGAGATGGCGGCACAGCGGCCGTCGGGCCTCCAGCCCTGCAGGCCCACACTCACCGCAACTCCGGTAGGTCATGGTGGTACAGCAAGAGCGCTGGCGCCCAGGGTTACGCAACGAGGATGAAGTTGCTGCCAAGGCTGGAAAACACCCAGAGAGAGCTTGAGACAGTCTGCCCCTGCTCTCTGTGGCAGGTGGCGACAATCAGGTCCGAGGCCTCCCCCTCGCTCTTCTTCCCATAAACCCTCTGACATTCCCATCACATACGAAGCGAAGCCCCCACTTCCCGGACCTCTGTCCTTTTCTGTACAGTGTTCTGCTATCCAGGGCTCCCCGGGCCCCACACCTGGCGGGACTGGGCTCACCTCTGCTGTAGCACTGGGCCCTGGCGGCGGTGGACGTGGAAAACAGCACGGGCCGCGGAACCTCCCTGTGCGCCATGGGCCCCTGGACCGGCTCGTTGAGCTCCTTGTTGATGGCGACAAACGCTGTGAAGGAACTCATGACCCCGGACTCCAGGCTCAGGTTCAGCACCTCAATCTTATTTCTGCCTATGGTCTCACGGAAGCCCAGGTCTTTGGTTTGGATTAAGGACTTTGCAGCAAGGCGATGAATGGTGAGGCTGAAAGGGAAAATTCCTGAGCTGTAGAGGAAGAGAAGAACCACTTGCCTGCCTCGGCCTTGGGAGCCCGTTTAGGCTATGCATAACGGAGAGGGAAGACCAGAGCCCAAGAGAAAGCAGACCGGAATGGATTAGAAAAGAACACAGATTGTAGCAAAATGATTGGGTTCCGGAATGTAATCAGAGGAGGGAAGAGAAAAGGGGGGGAAAGAAAAGGGAGAATTCTTACTTGGCATCAAGCTTGGGTTGTAGCAAAAATGTCACCTTACTCTCGAAACTCTTGCCCTGCAGGGTGTACTTCAGGCATACCTCTCCTGTAGCCTCCGACGGCTGCAAATAAGAGAAGAGCAGATGTGAGCAAAGGAGATGGCCCCAGGAAAACTCCCCAGCTCAGGGCCTGGAAATGCCCTGCCAGGAACGGGGCGTTAGGGAAAGCCAGGACCGGAAGGGATGGGAACTCAGGGTAAACACTACCTGACAAGGACAAGGACATTCAGTAATCAAATGCCAGAGCAGTGAGAAGACAAGTAGACAGAAACGGGGACTCACCGGCATCACCCCACTCAGCTGGGCATAAATGATTAACCTCTGACCCCTAAAGATGGTGGTCTGCTCGGGGGAAATCATGCTGGTGGACAGATCAGAAGGCAAATCCCAGCTCAGAGAGATGTCTTCTACCACAGACTGCAGAGACCGCTGCAGAGACCTGAGGGCCTGGGGCAGGAGAGGAGGAAGAAAGAAAACAAGACAGGCTGGTAAGAGTACCAGCGATCATCTGGTGTCGTTTGCAGGGAAATGGACGGACCTGAAACAAATCATGGTAAGTGATGTAAGCCAAGCTCAGAGAGACAAATGGCACGCATTTCCTCTCACGGCAGAAGCTAGATCTGAAATACCTGGGACATGACAAATGATACAGGACTCCAGGCCTTCACCCACTGTGAGACCAAAGGAGGATGACTTAGGGGAGGGACACAAAGGCGCAAGGCCGCTGTGCGTCATACAAAATAATGTTTATCGAAATCAGCTCCAGGAAATGGAAGCAAGAGGGCTTTTTCTTCTTTTCTGCCGTGTTTGTTTTTTGTTCCTTTTTGTTCTGTCTGTTCATTTATGTATCTTTGGGAGGCACAGAAATGAAAGGACAAATGGTGAACAAACGCAACAGTGGCACTCTCTGGACACTAGATCAGACATGAACTGTACAGCTTGCAGGTCGGATGGGAGGGAAAAACTGGAGGGAGCACAAAAAGAAAAGAAAAAAGAATAGCCATGATGTTACTATTAATTAACTATTTACAGTGTGTCAGGGGAATGTGATATAATGTGTTAATGTTTGATCCTAAAGCTTCTATTTGAATTAAGGATTTCTTTTGCTCTGCACATAGTAAAGCTAAAGCTGAAAGATTTAACATAAATGTAAATGAAGTGAATGGGAAACATTCCTCTAAAGAAGGAAATCATATACACACCCAGTGAGAAAGAGGGTCTTGGAAAATACAACCAGAGATGATGTCTCTTTATGCATATTCATAAAAGTATCACTACCATCCTCTCCAGCCTCAGACATAGCACACTTGTTCCTTTTCCTTCATTCTGTATTGTTTCCATGGTGATGGGCTACCGTAACGAAGAGACACGGAGTCTCAAACCTGACACCAAAACTCAGTGTTCCCGGTTCTGGTTGTCGATGGAAGCCCCTCAAATGCTTGTCAGTATTTCGTCTCCCCTCTTGTAGCTACCAGGGCCGGTGCCACGGTGCTGCTCCTCACCTTTGACTGCATTCTGTCCTTGCCCGTGATGAACTCGGCAGTGCCCCCTGACACCCGGGCAATGTTTTTTATTAAGCTGGTGGAGGCGCCTTCTCCAATACCAAATGAGAAACACCTGCAATCATTAAAAGAAAAAATAGAAAGGATGGAGATCAGAGACAGGCCCTCAAGAAGGGAATTACCAAATGAACACTCAGAGGTCTACACACAAAGAGAGAGATAGTATACTTTCTCAACCAAAAATACATTAGCACCATTTATTGAGCATCTGCTGGGACCCATTTAAAGAAATGCTATAAATAAGTGCTATGATTGCATGATCAAGAGTCTCCTAAGGAGAAGTCCTCTGCTTTATTTTGTAGGTGAAGATCTCAGGCCCCCAGTATGTTAGAAATCAGTCCAATATGGCTGTCCTATTAAATGGTTGAATGGGCATTGGAGCCCTGATCGCTCTGACCACCAGGTTCTCCTGAGAACCCTGGGAAAGGTAGAAAGCATGGCCAGCACCACCCCACACAGTCTTGGAAGCCTCTCTTCCCAGTCTCCTGGATAATATAACGTTTGGTCGTACCTGTGCTTCTTGCTGTTGAACTTAACTTCTTTAATTACACTAAAAGTCTCAGCAACTTCTCCATCAGTAAAGACAAAAACCTGCACAAAGAAAGACACTATTCAACAAGTCTATGTCTGATTCATTTTAAGGACATGGAACCTGAACTATCTAACTTAAGAGGCTCTGATGCCTCTTCAAACTATCATTGGGTCCCTGTGTTCCATGTAGATGGGAAAGAACGTCACCTCTTTCTGCCTGATATTCAAACAGACCCTCCAGCTGGCCTGAAGAGGACTTGGTTGCCCTGCCCAGGTTGGCTTCCGAAGTAGAACCTATTGGACTGTTCAGTTTGTGTTTCCGCTCTTTTGCTTTTCTCGCACACATAACCAGAGTAGGTTTGGGTCTGTTCAGATCCCTGGATGTCTCCACCCCTTCCAATTCCAGCTTCCCCTGAAAATTTAGACCCCTCCACAAAGGAATCATGGTCCCTGGCGTGATGCTGAGGAGGAAGACCAGTGCCCATTCTCATCGTATTTCTTCGTGGTGTGAGAAAAGGCCGAATCCGACAGGGCCACGTTTCCACAGCCCAGCCAGGAGGCTCGGAGGCATGGATTCGTGCACCGAGTTTTCCCTCTTTCCACCTTGCTTTTGCTGTGACACCTCTCACCTGGAGCGGGTGGCCTGGGATGGGTCGCCCTCGGAACACGTTCTGCAGGGGTGTCAGGATCTCAGTGCCCCCGAGGTCCGCCGACATGAGCTTGACTCTCTCCACCGCTGCCTCCATTGTCTTCTGAGTGTACCTCACACTCTCCCTGACAGACGCAAGCGCGCCGGGCGGGTGACGCCACCACGGCACCTGGCACCCCATGACGTGCCAGCTCTACACTCACCCATGAAATAAGGATTCCTTTCTTTTACATGTTGTTGTTGGGTGAGTGGGGGGGGGGGGGGGGGAACTTTCCAGAAACTTACGGGAAGAACACCTCATAGGAAGAGCCAAATCCATAGATGTTGAAATAGCAGCCCATCGGCAGGCTCTTGAGCAGCAGGATCAGCGTCTCCTGAAGGGGAGCAGGAGAGGAGGCAACTTGAGAGCACGCGGGGGCAGATGGATGCCCACAGGACCCTTGACCCTGACGACCCCCAGGGTGGCCTCCCGGCTGTCCTAGCTGCTGGAAGAGGCATCCACGCAGCCCCGCCGAACCCCTCAGACCCATCCCCACGTGAACACGGGACTCCCACGGCAGAGCGAGCTTTGCTTTTACCTTGGCGGCGTCTATGCGCATTTGGGAGCGATTCTCTTTTCCCATGGGGCACTGCATGCTGCCCGAGCGATCCATGAGGAAGACGAACTCTCCACAGCTCCTCGAGGTCTCCACTTCTGGGATTTCGGGGTAGAAGCTCACCATGGCGCACGGGTCCCCCATGAGGGTGTCTGAACACACAGCACAGACCCCGGAGGTGAAGATTCCCAAAGACACCCCTCAAGCCCCTCTCCCCCCCCCAATCAATCAAAGTGGATTTGACTGGGAAAACCCCAATCTAACTCCTGGTGTTCGATGATGCTGGTGATGTTTCCGCTTGCGGCAGCGGTGGGAAGTGAGATAGATTCCCGTGAAAGAGCAGAAGGAAGGTGGGCTTCGCAGGCAGGAGGGAACATGACAGTATGTGCCCTGTTGTATGTGCAGTTGGTACGTGTGGGTAGATGGCGGTCGTGCTGAGACACAGCTGATTTTAATGAGAGCAGAACTCTGGAATAATCAGGCCGCCGTGAGACCTGTGTGCGTTCACGCACACCGGGTTCACAACGGGCACAGGATGTGCTTCTGTTCACGCACACCGGGTTCACAACGGGCACAGGATGTGCTTCTGTTCACGCACACCGGGTTCACAACGGGCACAGGATGTGCTTCTGTTCACGCACACCGGGTTCACAACGGGCACAGGATGTGCTTCTGTTCTGCAGTTCTTTCAGGCAGACTCCGTGCCCTCAGGTTCTGTTCTTCCATCTCAGCCCCAGGACCTCCCCAGACTCAGCCCTGCTGGCAGGAACCCAGGGGCACTCGCCACTATGATCACCCATACTGTGCTCTCGTTCAGGGACTCAGGTGAGGGCTCTGCTCAGAGCCAGCCCCACCTGATGCTGTGGAAATCACCATACTGAACGGTGAACGCGAGGAAGGAGGTACCTGGCTTGGCCGCCGGCCCGCCCAGCTCCACAGCCACGCGGGGGCTGTGCACCTCCGTGTAATAGATCAGGAGCTCCACATCACGATCGAACCTGTGCCCTTCTGCCAAGGAGACCTGCGTTGGGGGCCAGCAAAGGGTGGGGTCAGAGCTGGGCCAGGGCTTCTCCCGGGAGTGGCACGAGGTGGCTCACTGCCAACAGGGAAAGCCAGGAAGATCCAGGAAGGGCTGGGAAAGCACCCGGCCCAGAATGTGAGGACCCGCCACTACCTGAGCGCGGGTCTTGTCCTGGCCGAGGAACAGGACGGGGCTCAGGGCGCAGTTGGACTGGACCCGCTGGATGCCGAGCTGGGAGCTGAGCGTGGCACACATGCTCAGCGTGTAGGGCAGCTGCTCCAGGGGCGTGAGCGGGGTCTTCAGGTCCAGGCTGCTGTCCGCAGGCAGAGCTGCAAAGCGGACCTCCGTGCTGGTCAGCTTGCCAGCGTTACTGTTACCGTGCGACCCCGCGGCAGCCAGGGCAGGGGCTCTCACCTGACAGGTGGTATCTGGGGTTGAGGATGGTGGGGAGCACGTAGCGCAGGGCCCCGTCTGCCTCCAGGGGCAGCTCCTGGACGTACCGCAGGGTGAGGGCCACCCTGGAGCCCGGCTGCAGGTTCCCCACGTTGCAGCGGAACACGTCCCGGGAGCAGGCGTCCTCCTCCAGCAAGTACGCCTGGAAGCCCTGGGCCAGGGCCTCCTCGTACTTTTTCTGGGCCTTGGGAGAGCAGGAGGACAGAGGCTAAGGACAAGTGCAGAGCATGGCCTACAGACCCCATCATAGTCCAGAGCGCCACACGGCCCTGAGCGGCAGAGCATGGCCTACAGACCCCATCATAGTCCAGAGCGCCACACGGCCCTGAGCGGCAGAGCATGGCCTACAGACCCCATCATAATCCAGAGCACCACACGGCCCTGAGCGGCAGAGCATGGCCTACAGACCCCATCATAATCCAGAGCGCCACACGGCCCTGAGCGGCAGAGCATGGCCTACAGACCCCATCATAGTCCAGAGCGCCACACGGCCCTGAGCAGTGGAGCATGGCCTACAGACCCCATCATAGTCCAGAGCGCCACACAGCCCTGAGCAGTGGAGCATGGCCTACAGACCCCATCATAGTCCAGAGCGCCACACGGCACTCAGCGGCGGAGCATGGCCTACAGACCCCATCATAGTCCAGAGCACCACACGGCCCTGACCCCATCATAGTCCAGAGCATCACACGGCCCTGAGCGGCGGCAGGCACGCCATGGCCCGCTGGATTTCACAGGTCCGCTTCAGATGCCTCTAATTGAGTCCCCTCACCCCTCTACTGGTATTCTTCGTGTATTATTTATTATTATTATTATCATTATTATTTCTCTTTTAGGCAAGCAATAAAAGAAGTGGACATTCGCCATTAGAAAGGCTGGATTTCATGGCACTGTAAAGAGTGTGTCTTCAGGAAATAAGAAGTGAGGAGGGAACGGGCCCTCCTCATTACCTTCATCTTGTCCTGTAATTCTGCCACAATCTTCTTCTCATCCACGAGCGCCTCGAAGCTGTAGACAGCAGAGTCTTCATCCATGGGGAAGACAAAGAAGGCCTCCAGAGGGACTTTCTCCTCGTTTTCATAGTTCAGGGTTGCAGACACGCCGGCCACGAACTCATGGATGGATAAGTCCACAGAGATGCTCTTCAGTGCCACTGAGGCGAGATCAGGTAACGGAGCTCAGCAAGCTTTCATATACTGCCATCCATAACCCAGGGACTTTGCTAAGCACCCCAGAGACGGGGCGAGGAGGTGTCGGCGGGCAGGCTTACCTGGCTTGTTCTGGCCAGCGAGTAGGCCACTGGCACGCACCATGGTGGAATGAAGTGTCTGTGGGAAAGACTCATTGTGAACAGAGGGCCCCACTGAACATGGTCCAGCAAACACAGCACCTTAAGTGCATATTTCCAGCAGAAGAACACATCCAGTGGGGTACCCTGCAGCTAGAAAGAGGAAAGGTAGAGAGAAGTGGGCAAAGCTGCCAATAGGAAGGCTCCTTTCAAACACCCACCGGGGCCGTAAGACTTACCAAGCTCTGCCCCACAGGAAACTGCTCAGACACTTAAGGCTGCCTCACATACCCAGCCCACCTTTCCAAAAGTATATTTACTGTTGGGCATGTATCCAAAAGATTACAATTAAAGATACAGTAAAGCCACATACACAGCCATATTCATTGCTGCACTATTCACCATAGCCAAGTTATGATACATATAGAGATGTCTTTTATAGAGAGATACATATACACACCTATACATATGGACATATATAGAAAGAGAACACTTTCTTGATCTATGTATATGCATATATACAAGAAAATGTTATGGATGGATGGATGGATGGATGGATGGATGGACAGACAACAGATAGATGTCACATTCTGACAGTAGCACCAAGCAAGCACAGGAGCAGTTAAAGCTCCAGAAGAGATGGAATAGGCTTCCATATCATTCATACGAGGGCAGGCAGAGGAGGCTAGGGCTGGGGAAGGAGAGAGTCTTGTCACACCTGCAGGAAGCTTCAAGCAGGAGACACACACATGAGCAAAAAGCAGAAGGGTTGCATCAGGCAAGCAAAGCTCCCAGGCTGCAGTACTGCCCAAGGTTGACAAGCAGAAGACAGAAGCAGACCTGGGTCCCCTACAGATTCTATGTGCAGAACAAACCCCTGGCTGAGGAAATGCGCTATGCCGCGCCCTCTTCCCCGCGATTCCCGGTATACACAGCACTATTTGGGGGAAAGGATTACTTCTGTCTCTCTGGATGGAATCTCAGAAAGATTTCTGCTGGGAGAGAATGGCCCTGGGGGACACCAAGGAGAGGCCTTGAATTCGAGGCAGTGGTGTGGATGGAGGACAGAGCCAAGGGTTTCTTTGGGAGGGAACCTGCACAAGTGGAGACATGAGATGGGGGGAGAGGGAGGGAGAAAAGGGGAGGGGGGGGAGAAGGGCGGTGCAGCCAGCCACACCCAGCAGCCTGTTGCCGGGCAGGAGCCACAGGGGAGATTTAGGATGACTGTGGCATTTTCAGCCCTGAAGTTTTCACTTCCCGGGTATTTACAAAAAGGACAGGGTGAGTCCCACATCCGTCCATGGAGGGACTGGGCGCTACACCCACTGCGTCTGCATGATGACCGAAAGCCTCCATGGAACAAACCCTAGAAAAAAACTGAGACCAGACCCTTGAGGAAGAAGAGGTGGCAGTCAGGAACGGGGAGACAGACAGACAGCGGTCAGAAGGGATTACACGCCGATGGCTAAACGCCCTGTGCTCACACCCATTCACCACCACCCAAGACTGCAGAAATCATCAAGGATCACAAACCAGGGCTCCGGCAGGCTCGCAGTCAGAGCAGCCCCCAAATCCACAGGCCGGCGCTGGGGAGGCGGTGGGGGGAGCACCTGGCCGGCAGATGGACGGACGCACACCGCCTCAGAGCTGGACGCTGCTCACTGCCCCCTCTGCAGCCTCCAGCTCTGAGTCACCAACCCCAAGCCAGCTGCAGCCAACCAGGCCCGCCCCTTCCAGGGACCAGTTACAATGCAGTGGTCTATCTGGCTAAGGGACCGAGGGAAAATTCTTAAGCAGATACTCAAACATCTGCTTTGGAAGGGAAAAAAATTGTCTTTAAGTTGAGCACCTGTTTATTTTCCTTCACTCTGGCCTCAGCAAAGTTCTGGTTAGATGATAGACAGATGGAAGAGATCTGGGTATCAGATGAAAATGCTAGAACCACATCCTTCTGAATCAGTCTTAATGACCAAGCTGTCTTTGTGAAAATTCCTCCTATAGAGCCTTATGGGCTCTCTATCATCACCCCTCACCTCTGATTTGAGACTTCGGTCCCTAGGTCATCCCCAGGGGCAGGCAGTGCACACACTTCTGATCTCCTGTGAAAGCATCCAGGTACAAAACACCCAGCTTTCCTGGCATGGCCACTTGTGAGCTTCTCACCAGGATAATAAGCTGAGTGCTATGGATACACACACACACACACACACACACACTTACTGAATAGATGTCTATAAATGCGCGCGCGCGTGTGTGTGTGTGTGTGTGTGTGTGTGTGTGTGTGTGTGTGGTGTAGCCAGATGGGGATGTTCACACTTATAGTCCCAGCTACTCAGAAGGCAGAGGGAGGAGGACTGTGATTTCAACACCAGTCCAGGTAACGTGAAGGTGACCCCAACTCAAAATACAAAAGACGTAGCTATTTGGGAGGCTAAGATCAAGTGATCATGGTTTCAAGGTCAGCTGGAGCAAAAAGTTGGGGAGACTCCATTGCCACTGGGCCTGGCGATACCTGCCAGTTTATCCAGGAGACGGCAGGCACAGAGGCTGGTACAGTGGTGCATGCCTTCATCCCCAGAGATGCTGGAAGCACGTAGGAGAATCGCAGCCCAGGCTGCACCAGACAGAGAGAGAGATACTGCCTGGGGGAAAAATGTGTAAAAGGACAGGAAGCATGGTTCAAGTGGTAGAGCATCTGCCTCGCAAGCAAGTGTGAAAGAATTACATAGAGATTAGATAGATGATACATAGACAGACAGACAGCTGTGCAAACTCCAAGCTGTGCTTGGAGTGTTACTCAGAGGTAGAGCACTGGCCAGACAAGGGCAGAGCATAGTACATATACAAATGAACAGGAAAGCATGGCTGTGGGTCTCCACTACCAAACAGGACAGACCTTTCTCAGTGGCCTCAGCTGTGTTTGTGGGGTGTGGGCCACACAGCTGGGTCTGCTCACACGAGTGCCACTACATAGCACATTCGCAGCGAGGCTTCTGAACCTATGAAATCACTGGACCACTGGTGTCTTTCAGCCCCTCAGTGCCTGACTTATCTACTTGGTTCACCTCTGGGTGCCTCAGAATTGTCCATAATTTGTTTTGTCTCTGTGAACATCTTCCTGCTGCCTGGAACCTCTCACCTACTCTAACTAGAACATTCCCATCAAACTGTCTCTCTCCCATGATACACCGAAGCACGATACTGCTTAAACTGGATAGACGTTTCCTGAACTTCTAATACAGAAATCCTAGCTTCAAGGTGACTAGTGCACCCCTGGATTATCTGCTTTGGTACCCATACCTGCTGTGTGTGCCTGGCATCTCGCTTGGCTGTTTTTCTTGGCTAGTCAGAGATCTTTGATGGAGACTTGCTACTGAATGTTAGTTGGAAAATACTGAGTTGTGAACACGTAAATTAATAAGTGAATGAATGAACAACTACTGCACTCAAAAAAAAAAAAAGAATTTGGTTTCACATGCCTCTTCCCAGAATTTTTATCGAGTATTCAGGAGACTTAACATGGAGCAACAAGAAACAGCCAGAAGTCTAAGATAGATGCATCAAGTGATAGGTCCAAATGCTCCGGGGGCTCCCCTCATCTTCAGGCCCTTTCTCGTGGCCATCATTCTCTTCCTGTCTCTGCTCCCCTCTAACCACAAGGGTCACATTAGAAAAGAAATTAGGTTCCCTCTTGAGCTCAGGCCAGCAGGAGTCCAGCCTCCGGGGAAGGAGCCCTCCGAAGCCCGCGCGCTGAGGGTCTTCCACGACCTTCTCCACCAAGGTCCTGGGAGTGGCACCTGCACACCGTCCCCAGACCAGTTTGTACCGGGGCCACCCTGTCCTCAGCGGCTCTAGTCACTCTTGCTGGCTTTCAAGCCAGCCTTGTTAGTACTGCGTAGGCACATTTGAACAATTTGTTCACAAACACAGCACCACACAAAAAACAAAGTTTAAAGTGAACACTTAGATATGTAATATAAGTGTCAAATGGGCCTTTTTTCGGGCTAAAAGTGTAGTTTTATTTAAATGTTATTTGTACATAATCTAGAGTAAGATATACAAATGGATAAAAATTGTTTGACAGTATTAATAGCACTTCAAATTCAATTTACAACTGCATTGACAATACTGCAGGGTGACAGGTACTCTGATTGAAAAAACTAAAATCACTTGCTCCTTTGGCCGATACATTCCCACTAGTCTTCACCGGATAAAACGCATTATGTATCTCAGTTGCAAATATTACCAAACTCTCACAACCTAGTCGCTTGATGCTCATAAAAAATTTATGGGAATGAAAGCATGAATTTCCCAATAGCATTCTTAGTCAATAAAACCTGGAGTGCAACTGATTCTCATGGTTTGGGGCTAACAGTGCGATCACCCAGGCTCTGCACCCTGATACACAGGAGTGCCACCCTACCCTGCCAGAGTCGATGCTGGGGGAGAGGCTGTCAGCACCCAGCCAAAATACATTCAGAGCAAAGCAGCCCAGGGTAATTTAAACAACCTTTTAATTTGTAACTATGTAATATCAGCAGAAATCAAACATGCTTGCTCTTAAAAATGATTTTCATTTATTTTGATACACAGTTTTTGAAAATGAAAACTAAAACTTCGGACTTCAACTTGTTCTTTTTTGTGCAATATCAAAATCTGGATTGAAATTTCAGGTGAAATCCAATGTGCTGAAAAAGATATTCTAAAAAATAATGTAACTGGAATAGTAGTAATTTTCCATTCTTTTAAAGGTTATAGAATAACAGGGGCAAAGACCTCCCTAGACATAAAACCAAATTTAAAATAACTGATGAAAACTATGATTACTAGGATCATGAATATTTATGACTAAAGTGCCACTAATTTTATTATAATAATGTATAAATATAAAAAGAATTTTTATGCAAAGAAATTATAATTATCTCCCATATATTTGTCTAATCTAGTCTCTCTCTTCCTCCTTCCCTCCCTCTATCCCTCTATCCCTCTCTCTCTTCTCTCTCTCCTCTCTCTCTTCTCTCTCTTTCTGTCTGTCTGTCTGTCTCTCCTCTCTCTGTCTCTCTC